GTTCCTTCATTAGATATGAACCCATAGCTCCCAATTGCTTACCTCTTTCCTTTCAAGAGGCTTTTAGTGCATGTACAAAGGACGCTTCCTTTCAGCGTGAATCCCGGAGTTCAGCTGGGTGGTGCAACCACAGAGACAGCTAGTCTTTGAGCCTCACATTGGGCGCCATTTGCGGGCGTATTGAGGAGCAGGGTCTCTGTGATGGTGAGCCAAAGACCTTTATTTAGGGTTGAACACAACTTACATAGTTTCCGATCCCGGAATAGCCCCTGCCCTGCCCGGCAGCACGCAGAGCCCAGCAACCCAACCAGCCAGGTAATCACGCGCTGACCACACACAAGGCCGCCCAATGAGCTCCCTGGTCACACGCTGGCCGCGTGGCTGCAGTTCCCGCCTCTTCTGCTCCGCTCCCCCCCTATGCCAAGGGGACACTGCCCATCGCCGGCCCCAGGCTGACTGCAACACACTAGGACAGGAATTTTTGGTTGTGCTGCTTTCTCTGTTCATCCTTTGCGTTGCAGACATATAACATTGCAAACTATAACATTGCAGAAAATAAGCACAGAGGCTAGAAAAGATGCTAGAGTTGGTGCCTTCATGAACAGGACTATGGCAAACAGTAACACTTTAAATCAGGTTGCCGTGAATCAGAACTACCTTGAACACAATTGGATTGAAATATTTAACACATTTCAACTATTTGAGAAAACCAGAATTAACAGCAATAACCAGCACAGGCTTAGATAAATAAAATGTACATATTTTGATTTGTTCTAAGCAGTATTCAAAAATTAAGGGATGGAAAGAACACAGTGTTTATAACATATGCATGGACTTCAGTGCAAATAATGACGGTATTGGCATTTTGGGGTTCTTTCACGGTTTTTGTTTTAATAGACATTGAATTGTTGGTTGCTTTAATATACCGATCTTGTGCAGTATATTTTAAAGCATTATCCTGCATCATTCTGTATTACATGAAAAGGATCATCTGTGAGTTCCAGTGGGATGCATTCTAATCATGCTGCAGTGGTGCAAAACTCAAAACTGACACTCAAGAGGAGAAAAATCCACAGAAAAATAGATTTCTTCCAAACGATTTGCCTGATGTTTCAATTTGTAATTGACTTTAGAATGGTATGCCCAACAGGAATTACATCCTATGCGATATAGAAAATAGAGAAATGTTTTTTGGAAGAGTATTCTTACATTTTATGATCCTGCTGTGCATGGTTGGTTAATAACTTGCTTTTAGAAGAAGCAGTTTCAAGTAGGTATTCCTAGTAGTAATCTATTTTCAATTGGAAAGTAATTTCTTCTAATTTCACAAATTACTTAGTTTAGTAAGTGTTTCATAAAATTAATATTATGCTTTGCAGATAAAATCTGAAATACATCAAAATACATTTGAAAGTTTTGAGATTCAGAAGTGTGAGTGCTTGCTGGGAAGAGAAGATTTTTCCGTTAGCTATCCTGCTTTTTTGTACTATGTATCTATGAAAACTGGTTCTAACTAAACAACCTATCTACTTCCTTTCTAGTATTGTACATAAGACAAAGCAATCTTTTTATCAAGATGAAAGTTTATTTCCTACAGAGGACAAAAAATAAAATTTATTTCTGGGTCCAAAAAAACTCAAGTTGTATAAGAGGCTATTTTACTACATGAGTAGAAAGATCTTTGCATGAAATAGTTTATGCTCATCTCTTAACAGTTCTAATACTAAGAGAAAACAGCAAATATCACAAGAAAAAGTTCTGACTGGGTTTATGTTTGTCTCATGAAAAACAAACTCTTATTATTGCTCTTCTGTTTCCTATTTTCCTGTACGAAGACAGGAAAGACAGAAAGACTTTCCTTCAGTGTTTGTAAAGACCGCGTATAAAATGACGTATTCAAAGGTTGAAATGGCTTTAGTGGTTCCCTTTTATTCTTCTTTTGACTTTTGAATGATTCTTTGTCTTCTGCATTCAGCCACTATCAGAAAAAAAGAACCACCATGTGAAAGCCAATGAGGACTGAGCAAATACTTTACATTTCCATCTATGAATATTCATGTGAATAAAAAAGAGCATAAAAAGCTGCTCAGAATGTGCTTGTTCCTCTCTTACGTTCACTTTCCATGACTATTCTAGCACAAATAGGTGGAAATAGTATACATTTTAATCCATATGAAGAGAGAGAGGGAAAATTTGGGGTTGATAACATGTAACATTAAAAATGTGCTTCTTCAGGGTTTTAAAGATAGTTGATCCTACCTTGTCTTCATATTTTTTTTTGATTCAATTTCTTTTTGGTCTCTTCCATCCTTCTTTTCAACAATCCAAAGAATTTAGGACAAATTAAATGCAGGCATTACAGATTGAAGTATTTGAAGAATAATGCTGAAAACAAGTATTTAATTGATCTTAAACTGTTCTTGGAAACTTCCAAAGAATCAAGTCTAGGTTAGCTAATTATTCAACTATTCTTTGCTTTGCTCTAAAATGTAGTCCTTCAGACCCAGAGTGAGAGAGAATGTATTAAGCAACAAAATGAGGCTTTTCTTCACAAAAATACAGGTGCCTTGAAGGGCTGGAGATATTCAGAGGTATGTCCTTGTGAAATGTTGCAGTTTGAAAGCCATAATGTTAGTGGTGGTGGGGGGGGAAGGAGATATCAAATCAATATCGGATTCACAAACAGTCTGTGAACCATAGGTCCGATCGCCTTCCTAGGAGCGAATCGAGTTCCCAAATAATGTTATCACCTATAAGCTCGACCCTGGCAGTATCGGATTCACGAACAGTCCATCAACTGTAGGTCCGATCGCCAATCGTTGTAGTCCTTCCTCACTGCCACTGGATATGAGCGGAAGTATATCCACAGTGGTCATGATGATGCAGTTACACAGAACACCACTTGTGGGCAGGCTGAGCTCGGTGCCGGGCCAGCTCGCCCTGAAGGGGTAGCTGCGGCACGGCCCGCCCGACGCCCACACCAGGAGCCCGCTGAGCAGCGCAGCCGGCCCTGCGCCGCCCCCTCCTCGCCCCCGGGGGTACTGCCACTGGACATGAGCAGAAGGATATCCGCAGCGGTCATGCCGATGCAGAGCAGTGCTCGCAGGCAGTCGGGTCATACACTGTGTGAGTATTTAGATGTGGTTCTCGCTCATGTGCCCATATCAAGCTCTGTTTCAAATCAGCTGCCTCTCCTGCATTCTTCTGCTCCAGTGCCATGGAGTTCCCCACCGTTCTTGACTGCACCTCCGTCCTGCAGGAGGCACTTGTGAGCTCGTGGCTTCCTCTCAGCCTTCGTTCAGTCCAGCTACGCCCCGGTGCGACAAGCGCATCTGTTGCCCGTCTCTGTCCCTGTTCGGGTGCCATTTGCTGCACCTTGTGAAGGAATGAACTCAGTCCTTCTGTTCCATCGTTAGGTATGAACCTGTAGTTCCCAACTGCTTACCTCTTTCCTTTCAAGAGGCTTTTAGTGTATGCACAAAGGACACTTCCTTTCAGCATGAATCTCAGAGTTCAGCTGGACAGTGCAAACGGAGAGACACCTAATCTTCGAGCCCCACGTTGGGCACCATTTGCAGGTGTACTGAAGAGCAGGGTCTCTGTGATGGCAAGCCACAGATCTTTATTTAGGGTTAAACGCCACTTACAGAGCTTCAGAGCCCGGAGCAGCCCCCGCCCTGCCTGGCAGCACAGAGCCCAGCAACACAACCAGCCAATCAGCCCGGTGATCACTCCGAGGCTGTCCAATGAGCTGCCTGCTCATGCGCTGGCCATGCTGCAGCTCCCGCCTCTTCTGCTCAGCCCTGCCGGAGGAGACACTCCCAGTCACTGGCTCCAGGCTGACCCAAACACTTTTCTACATTGTAAATTGTTGATTATATGCAGGAGGTTGATTTTTAACCAACGTTTTACTTATTTCATCCAGTCATAGATATTGTGAATGTAGAATGAAGATGTTTTACACAGGTGTTAAATTCCTTTTTCTTAACATGAGAAATAGTTACTTGGTAAAATTTTACCTACAAAAACACATTCTTGTGAGCATATCCAAGAATGCACAAGTGGTTGTCTTGTACTTCATCTAGGTAGTTTTACTGAGCCTCAGGTGGTGAATTAAATCCAGGCAAATATTCTTTTGATATGGTCTGAGATAAAAAGAACCATGCCAGGTGGGAGTGAAGCACAACATTTAATAAAAGAAGGAAGAAGCAATATTACCTAGTAATAGATCACTTGACAGTGTGAACTTAAACAACTCAATTGACTGACACAAAGATTTGGGAAAACAACCATTATAGACAAATGGTTTGTCAAACAGGGAGTAGAAAAACTGGCTTCTAAAACCACTCATTGCTATTGACTCATCTTATTAAAATGGCTTGCCTGGCTTATACATCACCAGATTCCTATAATTTCTTGCAAGGTCCTTTTTTGTCAGCTGCTACTGTGGCACTGTGTGTGAATGTCTAAGTGACATTCGGTAAAGGCAAAATATTTTAAAAGAAAACAGTGTCATAAATATTCTGGAGACTGTGAGTCACTTTTCTTCTGTGGAAATGTTATAGTGGAACATTCTGCAAGTCTAAAACGCAAAGTCTCTAAAATGCATTCATTAAGAATGTACCAGACTAGCAGCCCTCAATGAGACTAAATGGAATTCTAAACAAGGATCTATTAAGCTCCCAAAGGATACCAACACATTATTTCACTTTTCATCTGCACTGTGGATTGCATCATTACCATGTGCTATGATACCTGAAAATGAATGACCCACTGTGACACTGAAACCAAGGTGAGTAAATCTATGGGCAATCTGAAGAATCATTTCATGAGCAGAGTGCTTGGCCTTTCATTGTTGGTAATGACAGAAGATTTACAGAGGTTATTGGTCATTTTAATGATTTCGTGCTGTGATATTTCCCCAGATGGGAGAGAGATGTTTGAAAGAGGAAGGAAGGGAGGCAAGAAAATACCCATTCATTAATTTTGCAGATGATTAGTATGGATATGAATATAAGCAGAGATGATACATATATGCAATCCACAATATTCAAACATCCTCTGTAATTGGGAATTTTTTCATGGCAGGATGGATTATGGTCAAAAAAGTAACACAAAATGATGCAACGCTTTTGCCTTTTCTTTGTCTCCTGTATTAAAGATATAAAAAAAAGATTTCTTTTTGTTGTAACTTGATTTGTAACATTAAGAAAAGGATAGCAAACCAATAAAATAAAATGAGGTGATGCGCTATCAAAAAGGTAGTCCTTAAGGAAAACCAGAACTTTAACAGTAGTACATCAAGGAACATCAATTCTAAAACAGCACTTTGTGATCATAGAATCATAGAATGCTTAAGGTTGAAAGGGACCTTTAGAGGTCATCTAGTCCAAGTCCCCTGCACATGCAGGGTCACCTAGAGCACGTGGCACAGGATTGTGTCCAAGCGGGTTTTGAAGATCTCCAGAGAAGGAGACGCCACAACCTCTCTGGGCAACCTGTTCCAGTGCTCTGTAACTCTCACCGTTAAGAAATTTTTCCTTAAGTTCCCGTGGAACTTTTGATGCTTTAGTTTCTGGCTGTTTCCTCTAGTCCTATCGCTGGCCCAAAATAATAGGCTGCTGACTTCCCTATCACATCATTTAATTTTTCAATCTTTCTCACTTCCTGTTCAAATAATGAAATAAAATTGTAATTCTCCCTCCATCAAAACAAAAAAAAAAAAGAAATTTTTGGGGTGAAACTTGCTTGTATTTTATTTGATTTGCAGATAACCAGAAGACTCTAGTCTTCATCTTTTATCAGGAGCCTGACTTAGGAGCTTGTCAAGTGGGGACAAAGATGGGGACAGGGCTGGTAGTGCCCCCAGGGCCTGGACACTCAGGAAGGACAGATAGGTCAGGGCAGGTCTAGGTCAAGACTGCAGCAGACAGTAAATATGAAGACTCTGTAGGTAACAATAAAATGGAAAAGAACAAGGATGTCAAAATAATATCTACCACAGACTATCAAACTTAGAAAAATCCATTATAAATAGTTTTTAAAAATAAAAGGCTGATAACTATGAAAAAGAAATAATCAAAAACCGTGATCAGTATTAAAGATGAATTTTATCAACTCATTTTGGGGGAGAGAAGTATACCAATATGAAGATGGGCCAGGAAAATCGCTGTGTGTGCGCTCTCTGGAGAAAAAGGAAGATGGAGAAAATGATTGAGACGCTTCTTTCCAGATGTGATTTTTCCCAGTAGGCACAAATTCAAAAGAAAGAAAGGAGACAAACAGACTAAAATCAAGAAAATGGTTTAAAATCAGAGAATCTGTAGATAGAGGAAGTAAATTTAAAGGAAAAAAAAAAAGAAAAAAAAAGGAGAGCAGTTCCTTAAAAGTCAGCAGATCTTAAAAAGGAAAAAAACCCACACCTTATATGCTCATTATTAAATGTAAATTATCCTAAATCATAAGATATAAAGTGTAACAAATGTAAACTGTTCAAGGTCCTCAATGTCCTAAAAAAGGAAGCACCAGGAGAGTAGAAAAAAGGGGAAATTATTAAAGACAAGCAGGAAAAAAAAATACACAGAAGCAAGCAAGCCTAAAATTAGAGGGGTCAAGCCAAGCCTCAAAATGAGATGCAACTAGCAAGAAACATAAAGGACAACAAAAAAAACCCATTTTACAATTACATTAGGAAGAAACCCAAGCAAACTATTGGTCCACGTCACCATAGTAAGAGGGAAAACACATATCCAGAGAAGACTTAGTTGTTCTCCAGCTACCTCTGCCTCATCAAATTTACCACAAATCATATGGAGTATATCATGGGGCAGCTTCTGCTTACCCTCGATAATTCATGGAAGTTGGAAGATTCAGAAGGTGGTAAAAGGAAATGAAGTATAAGAAGGCGGAGGAAAAGCAGGGAAATAAAGACGGCATGTTCATTCTACCTTCAGTCATCTAATCTAGGTCATCTAGACCTTCCACTGGAAACACTATTTGTCTCCACTGATAAGCTAAGGAACAAAGCTTTGTCTAAACATACATAAATGTATAAAGTAGATGGAATGAACAGTGCCTAACTTAAAAAAAAATAGCAGTGGAGAAGGAAAAGGAGATGGTGAATTATAGACCAGTCATCTCAATTCAATTCCCAAGAAATTCTAGAATGAACATCTGGAAAATAATGAGAATATGAGTGGCAGAAAGCATAGACTTGTCAAGAGCAAATTGTGTCAAACCACCTGGTTTCTTTCTGTAGCAGCATAACGTGCCATTGGGACGGCATGAGACAAAATATCGAAGTGGTTGAAGAATTTTGCCAGCTTACCGGGCTGCAGGTACAGGCCCCTAAATGCCATGGGTTTCTTATTAGGACTACTAAAGACTCTTATACCATCAATGACTGCAACCCATGGTCAATTGCAGAAACGCAATTGGATATGATAGATCCGGGTAGTTCGGAGAAATATTTAGGCCTAGGGATAGACCCCTGGGTGGGGATATCCAAGCCCGAACTATGAGGGACACTGACCCGCTGGATTGGAAACATCGGGGGAGCCCCACTAAAGCCACTTCAGAAGGCGGATATCTTGAGGACTTATGCAATCCCAAGGCTGCTGTATAGTGCCGATCATGCCGGAATGAACGTCACATACCTCCATTCCCTAGACCAGGAAATTAGATCGGCCGTCAAAGGATGGTTACATCTGCCACCGAGTACGTGTGACGCCATCCTTTATGTGGGGTATAAGGATGGTGGACTGGGACTCCCCCGTCTGGCGAGCCAAATTCTTAATATCCAGGCTCGCAGATTGTTACGGATTGCCCACTCCGAAGATACCATCATTCGGAATGTAGTCCGCCAGGAAGGGATCCAAGAGGAGGTGAGGAAGGTTTGGATCGCGGCGGGCAGGCGTCCTGACAAAGTACCAGCAGTGACGGAGGAATTCCCCACGGTGGCTGCGGAGTCCTCGACGACCGGCGAGCCCTCGTCCGAGTGGGAGAAGGTTGCTCCAAGAGTCATCTATCCCGTTCCCTGCAGATGGAGGAAAAGAGAATTCGAGAATTGGACCAATCTAAAATCTCAGGGCCGCGGAATCAAGAACTTCGAGAATGATCAAATTAGTAATGATTGGTTAATTCATTATAAAGGTATCCCACATCGCAAACTAATAACAGCCATCCAACTGCGGGCTAATGTATACCCTACTCGGGAGTTTTTGGCCCGTGGATTGGGTGAGGGTGCGGTAAGAGGGTGCAGGCATTGTCCTGCTGAATTGGAGACTTGTGACCTCCGCAGCGGCAGAAAAGGTGAGCAAATATAAACATCTAGTTGAGGAGGTCCGAGCTTTAACATCTGTCTCGGAGATAGAATTTGTGGGTTTCCCGCTAGGAGCACGCGGGAAGTGGTACAATGGCAATGAGAAACTCTTGGCCGACCTTGGGCTCTCTGCTAGCCGTTTGAAGAGGATAGCGAGGGTCTTTTCTCAAAGGGCCCTCCTATCCTCCGTGGATATAATACATATTTTCGTGAGCTGGGCCAGGCAGATGTAGTCATCTGCCTGCGCGGAGGGTGAGAATTGGCAATATAATTGGCATTCTCCCCTAATTAACACCTTTCCGCCCCGGCTCCGTACTAAAGTTACTAACCTCTTTCCTCGACCAATAACATCTGGTCCGTCTGCAACGACCAGACCCACCTTCCAGGGAGTCAAACTACTCTTTGATTTCCTGGAACAGTCGGCTCTGGTCCTTGCACCGTTCCCCGCTGGGTAGTGGATAGGGACAGTGGGAGTTAACATCTCGTCCCATATGACGTGTCTTATTAACCGGATTTGACGAGGTGGACGGGCCACCTAAAACCCGGAAAAGGTGCCTTGCAGTATTGCAAGGTTCAATAAATAGCAGCATAACAGGCCTTTTAGATTAAGGAGAAGTAGATGATGTAATACTTTCTGTCAGGTATTAATAAGGTTTTTGAGTATTCCACATGATTTTTCCAGCAAGCTGAGTAAAAATATTCTAGAGAATATCGGAAAAATCTGGGTAACCTCTTGTCTATGTAGCTGTTATTAACATTCCACTGTCAACATGGAAGGCTGAATAAAGTTTCTGCAGCAGCTTGTGCAAAGTCCAGTTTGAGGTTTTCATTAGTAGCTATGATGACAAAATATAAACTATAGTGTAAAATAAGTGCAAAACTAGCCAAAAGAAATCAGTATCAATAAAATGCTGCTAAACTCGAAGAATAAATAGAATGAGGATCCTGAGATCTGGTCTCAGTTCAGATATAAAAAATAATAAAAAACACACACACACAAAGGAGTAATACTTGACAGTATTTGCTTATTATATTTGCAGACCCACTTAAGTAGATAGAGTCACTAAGAGAAAGAACTAGAAATTTAAAATCATCTTAAAAAAAAAAAAAAACTGGAGAAATGGTCTAGACTATCTACAGTTCTGTAATGACAAGTGAAAACATACATATGAGCAATAAGCAAATGAGTGGGAAAGCAACCAGCTAGCATTCTACAAAAATTGATCAAGGAGAAGGAGAGCAACATGATCTAAACACAAACAAGGCATCCAATAGTTTAAAGAAAAAAGGACTAAAAATCAGGCTGTGATATTTTAACAGGAAAAACATACATGAAGCATAATGTTTGCATTTTTCTGAAAATATTACATATGTTCCCTGACCTTTTGGGCAATATTTTATAGCCCATAATGCAATATAGCACAAGCAGCAATAACTTGCTTTTGTCCTATTATTTGAGTCATTCCACATTTATTTTCCTCTTTCTTTCTGAAAGTTTCTTACAGGAAGACAGAGTATGCTTCTGTATATAGTTCATTATCACTCCATGAGAACTCTTTTATATACACTATATTACAGATTTCTGCTGTTTAAAAATGTCTCATGTGAGGAAAAAAAACCCCCTCAGACAGACGTTTGATCCAGGCTACTTTTCAAATGTGGCAGAAGCAGCTGAGTTTTCCATACAGTGTTTGCGTGATTCCATATGGGATGTGATGCCTTCTGTGACACCCAGGAAAGTATAATATTGGTGGCAGTTATCATTTAAAGACAAAAATGCATGAAGCAATTTTCCATATGGTATATCCCCCAGTAGAATTCATTTTAATGTGAATAATACACAAGATGTATAAAACCTACAGAAATCAATTTGCTTCTGATTTATGAAAGCAAAAGAGAACAAAGAGTAAGCAGGGAGATCCATTTGCCTTGAAGCACATTTTGTCCGCATTTCATTCAGAATGCTTTGTTAATATAAAACGACCTTCAATGTTTACAAATATTTTTCATTTGCAGACTGCTGCAGTCAAACGATACCAAATCATTAGGGAACCCAAAGACTCTGATTCAAAGCCTTGTGAGAATGTTGGCCACTAGAGCACTTAATGTCTGGCAGAAGCTCAAGACTAATTATATGCTCCCCTCTACAATTAAATTATAACATCCTCAAAACTAAAAATAGACACAAATTATATTCTAATGGATGCCAACCACAAAAATAGCTAAAATGAGTTGTCAGATACAAAACATTCTGCATGTTTTCCATTTATGCTTTTAATGCATTGTATACAATATTGGATTGCAAGTTGCAATTTGCAGGTTTTTTTCAGGACTATGTATATATTCGTGTCCAGTAAGGATAGTTTTCATTAAAATTGTATGATCTTTTAGTAGGTTATTTCTTCAGAGTTGTGAAGAGAAAGTGAAAAGAATTATTTCAAAAACAAAACACAGTATCAGCAAGGACGTGCTTTCTGAAATAAGAAATGCGAAGTAATAGCTTTTATGAACATCTTTATCTGATTTCTTTTAGCGAGATCTTAGCTTCAGTCACAAGACTACAACCTACTATATGCTTGCTCATCGTTTCCATTGCTGCCAAGGACTACTGGGTTTAAAGCAGAGAGAGATGACAACAGAAGACTCCACAGGACACAGACAGAAAACCAGTTTGCTGTACATTTTGCAGATATGATGTATTTTGTGCAGCTAACAAATAGGAAAATCAATCATTTTCCTAATCCTTTTGGACCCAAATCAACTCTTAGCATTCTTCATTCACAGCTACTGTGCAAGCAATCAAGTCTGGATCCCTCTCCACCCCTACAGCCTTCACTTTTAAGAAATAAGCAAACGTTTATATGCCTTATCTTATATATTTTTGACAATCATGGCAAAATGACTGTGTTAAGTTTGAAACAATCTGAGCTCATCTTGGGAACTTTTTCTATATATGATAGAAAATGTGGGCCTAGCTGAAACACTTTCCTATGTCCAGTTTAGCCGATCACATCTTAAACCTGACCTGTGATCTCAGCCAGATATAATCTTCTAATACATTATTAGACTTGAAAGCTGAGTCATACTTCATTGGAAAAAGGAACCATTTCAGGCTATGCAATTTTGAATCAACCTATAACCTTCATGTCAGTATAATTTGGCAATCTAAATGTATGACTGGGCTGTTTTCAACTGCACCTGAAGTATAAATTACTAGAACACCTTGAAATATACAGGAAAAGATGTCAAAGTTGTTGCAGGATTTTTTAAGATTTGTTTGGACTGCATATAGAAACTTAATAGCTAGCTAACATCATTTTCCTATATCTAGTTTTTAATCAGTTTTATACTACATGGATTTTTGTCTGAACTTAAACTTCCCTCACTTACATATAGGTATATGCAAGATATTTAAAGTAAATCAGTTTATGTATGTGAAGCTGTTTTCATAGAGGAAGAAACGCATACTGGAAACAGGTGTATCTTATAGAACACCTTATTTTTTTCATGCTGTTTTTACACTTAGAAATAAGACAAAATTAACGCAGATGGTTTTCACACAGAATTTAGTGCCTTCGGTAGTGATTTGCTGATAGTTAGGCATGTTTGTTATAATTGGAATATTTCCATTGCAACACTAAAAGGTAAACTATGGATCAAAACGAATGCATACATCATTCCAGTATCCAAAGACAAATTATATTCTCACACATGCATACAGAATGGATGACTATATATAAAATTATATATAGTAGACGGACGTAAAAAATGCAAAGCAAATTATCAAGATCCAGAATAGTTCCATAAGCAAAGAGAAAGGTTAATTTGTGGTCTCACAGGGACATGAATGTGCTAGTTAGAAACACACAGGATGATGAATCATCCTCACTAGTATCCTCCAGTGTCATGCACTGGCAATCTCTACAAAGAGTGTAGGACCCTGTGCAAAGTGAGGCCATATTCCCAAAAACCGTGAGCATTACTAACAGCTCTCCGGTGTTCCTCCAGGCATTACAAAAGGTACGAGAGCAGATACACCGAGTCTTACAAGACCACAACAAGAGCCGGAAGCCTATACAAGAGCCAGCTCACCCATACCAACTGGGGGACTTGGTGTACATCAAAAGGTTCCGCACAGCATCATTGAAACCTCGGTGGACAGGGCCACACCAAGTGATACTTCACACTCCAACAGCGGTGAAGGTCACCAGAAAACCTGCATGGATCCATCCCTCCCACGTGAAACCGGCTCCTCCTCAACTGAATCCAGATTCAGATAAGTGGACTATTTCCAAGGACCCTAGTAACCCACTAAGGGTCACAATACAGAGAAAATGAGTAGACAGATATGGGGAGCCTGGTTAATTTTAACAGTGTGTATACAAACTTTGGGGTTAAGATAGGAGCACAGTCCTTATCGCCCCATTAACTGGAAATGGGAAATTAGGGATACTATAACAGGAAGCACAATCCAGTCAATAAGCACTAGTGACGCCCCTGAAATAACCGTTGATTTATGCGAAATAGGATTGCCCATATGCGGGAGGCCAGACACGACTCCTGAAGGCTTCAATATGAGTCTAGCAGAAATCGCTTTATTCGCGTTACAGCTCTCTATTTATCTACTACATTTCTGTTAAGTCATCTAGCCACGCGTACGCTTACATTGCGATTGGTTACATACTACCGTCCACACATCTTCTACTGTACTAGGTTGGCTGTAGATATCGGGGCACACGTTTACATGATTGGCCCGCACACAGTCCTCTATCCTGCACTGATAAGCTTGTTTACAGGTTCTTCCTCTCCTACTTCTGTGTTCTTCCAGCTGGTGACTTTCCCACGATCTTTTCACCTTGGTCTTAGTCCGGCTCATTGTATCCGACTTCTATCGGGAAGCCTCCGTTACTTAGATATGCTCCCACACCCATATGACGAGCCTCGGCAACAGGAGGAACAGGGTACCAAACAGGGGGTCACGGGGCAACAGCGGCTCAGGGACACGGTCCCCATTGTGGGGGAGGAATTACTACAGGAGGTACAATACTACGTATGTCCTGCTATAGGAAATCCTGGGTGTCAAGGGGATGGGCAGTTTCACTATGCCCAATGGGGTTGTGAAACAGAATCCTCCTGGGGGCATCGCGACCCTTTCATAAGAACAGAGCGGGGTCCGAAGGGTAAATGCAGTATACCTGGAACCTGCAATCCGATCCTTTTTAAACCCCAGTATTGGGGCCGATAC